GACTGTTAGTTGTCAACAATACAAAACAGAAAAATAGAGATCATGTTTACAGCATGGATACTTGCAGCCTGTTAAACTTAAGGTAAAATGGGCTACATTGTATAATGGAAAGTTTTTTAAATTTATGCCAACTGACAGAGCAATTGCTGCTTCACTTGAAATAAAAGTCTGCTCTCATAATACAGACACATCTTTCTCTCACCTGTAAGCTAAAATCCAGTCAATCACAGCTGCCAATTTTAAGGAGTGCCAAACACTGATAAGGCAAATAGCAGGCAGACTGCTTTGATTTTATCTGTGGTTTCATGCTGGAGGTAGAACCACAAATTATATAGCTGGAAAGGAGCACCCAGAACATTTGTAAAGCTGCCCAAAGGTTCAAGGTCTATGAGTGCAGATTTAGACTAAAAACTTTCATTTCTGCAATATTGCTGGGCATATGTGGAAGAAAATGTTACTTATTTATAAAGTTCTTGATTATCTATCTTAGCAGCATTTTTAGAATTTTATTTCCACTACCAGGGATTAAGAGAACCCCAAATTATTCAGGTATATTTTAGATCTCCTTTTCTCCTGAAAATTCCCAGGCTTCCTTTAACTGTTAATATTTATGAAGGTGACTTAGAAGTTAATTTTTTCAGTTTGTGTCCTTAGCATATATCTCAGCATGCCTCCCTGAAAACCACTCTTCAAAGTCCAAAACAAGTTTAAAAATTGCTGAACCCATTGATGATACCCTTTTCTTTTTCAGACAGGCAAGAACAGTGACTGTGGAAGCTAGTCTCTTCTTTTCCCATACCACTCTTTCAGATGGCACCCTGAGGTCTGCTGTACATTATGTAACAACACTGTACCTACAGCCCTGCATAAGCATGGGGCTCTATTGCCTCTGCTACATCCTGCTGTCTCCCAAGCATCCTCTTCTAGTGATATGGGTTGTTCCCCTTCTGAACCCTGACTTTTTGCATCGTACCATTTCTTGTACTCCAAGAGAATGGGCACCCACTTGTTTACATGTTGAAGGGAATGTATATACTACAGTACATGGATCTATAAAAAAAAACTTTACATGAAACAATTGATATTAATATTACATGATTGTTATGAAGTCAAAAAACTCCCCATTCTCATTTCATTATATTGACATTTCCATATGATTTACTCATACTTCATTTCTGAATGAAACTAACCGTATTGACTCAATATAAAAGTTATTAACGTGATGCCTGTATTATTCTGACTTCCATTATTTCACAAAAGTCACATCATTTCTTTGTCCATAAATCTATTAATACTGCCATATTTTGACTCATGGCTATCACTGTTCTGTTCTTGGAATCTAAAGAAGGTAACAGTTTTGGATGGGGATCTAGACAATAAAACCAAGGCTAGTTACCTTGTCAGTAAAATTGTAACATTAATATGATCCAAATTCTATGGTTTTTAACTGAAGGAGACAAAAGCAGTTGAGTCCATTGCTGTGGAAATTTAGGTATTGTTTAAATCTTTAAGCAAAAAGTGTAAAGGCTGAAAGTCTCATGGGACTGAATAATGGGCAAAAAATAATTTTTTTTTCTCTGTTTTCACATGTGTGCACACACACACACACAAACCCATTTCTGCTGAACTTATACCATATTATCTTCTCTGGTCTCATATACACATATACTTTATATATTTTCATCTTACAAGTAGCCCTAAAAACTACTGTTTTCCAGTGTTTGATCCTATTATCCCCTTGCTGAATGTTTCCAAAAGTTTCTGGTCAAATATAATATAAAACTTATGGTTTTAATTATTATTTTCAAAACCCATTCTCCAAATTACCCTTTCAAAATTCAATCTGCTTCTCATGTTTCATTGTTTCCACCAATATTCTGAAGATTGGAGATAACAGTAAAAAAATATACAGAGCTTCTTATATAAAGTACCCTGACCTGCCCTTTGAGTACCTTATGCTGTTGACTTTTAAGGGTTTTTTTTGAGAATCCAGGGGGGGTTGGACTAGATGATCTTTGGAGGACCCTTCCAACCCAAACATTCTATGATTCTATGAGTGACTTCTGCAATGACATGAATGCCTCTAGTAAGCCAGGTAAATGTGCAAACATGCAATTCTTCTGCATTTAATTTCACTTCTCCCCTGCCTACTTGTTTATTCTTAGATAATTAATTGCTCCAAGCATGACCCTATAGTCTTGAAATGGGTAGCAGTGGGTAGCTTAGTGAAGGACACTGCTGCAAGTCTTACCTCACCTGATGCTATAGTATCTATGAGCCTTCCTCATGCAAATTTAACTTTTACATGGTTAAGGACAGCACTCCATCAGAAAAGACAATGTAATTAACGAAGTTGCTAGGTGCTGGCTCCAGAAGCTCAATTTGAGCCTTTATTCTTTGCTTTCTCATCATACTAATTCTCTTCACAAGGGGAGGCATGGAGTCCAGCTGATGTTAAGAACAGCTGTGTTTAGCACATTGACCCACCTTCCTGATTTAAGAGCTATTACAGAGTTTAGTGCTGCATACAGACCAGGTTATGCATCATACTTTTAAATCAAGTCAGAATTTTAGAAGGATTGATGTGTATATTGACCAAGCAGAGCTTGCAACTTTGGTCAGATTTTCCATGCTTTAGTGGTCATGGTGGAGTTGGGTGATGGTTGGACTTGATGATCTTAGAGGTCTTTTCCAACCTTAATGATTCTATGATTCTAAGATTACTGTTAAAGCATTGAGCAGAAGAATTGTCTGAGCTTTGTGTGACTGAATCTCAAAGAAGCTAACTCCATTACAGCACTACTGTAAATATTAATCGTGTTATCTAATAATGCAATATAAGCTTCATTTAAGATTATGTCTTAAGAGTTCAAGGGGAGAAGCAAAGCCAAGAAGGATCATATTAAGCATCTTGTTTCAATGTGTGAGAAGCGTCATTTAAATTTTTCAAGCCAAGTCTTGGCATTAGTTTGGGGGAACTTGGCTCAGCTCAAAGGAACAGCCTTCTTTCAATGTCAAGAACAATCCTAAAGAGTAAAAACAGTGAACACAGGGGGCTGCATGAAACCTCTGAGTTAGAAACAAACAGTGAGCAAAGATTAACATTTATCTGAGCTGTCAATGTTTTTCCTCCATTGCAGACATATTAATATGTATGCCATGACTTCATGTTGCTATGTACTCTAGCAATGGAACAGAGTAGTAACAGGGGAAAAAAAAAAAAAAAAAAGGAAATCCAAGTATATTTTAAATTGAACTCATGTCTCTGTAGAGAAATTAAAGTATCTATTTTTTGGTATAAATCTTGGAAAATCTCAGCTGCACAAGTCACAGTCAGGCTGTATGTTAACTGTTCAAAAGATTTTGTCAATGCCATGTGAAATATTTCCTCATCTCCCAGTTTTGAAGTTTAAAGTGTAATTTAGATGACAGTGTTACAGCTTTGACTGTAGGAGGAAAGCAGAACATACAAAAAGTCAGTAAATTTTAAACAGGAGGAAGTTCTACATTTATCTATGACATGGATGTTTGTGAAAAGTACTGGATTAGAGAACAAAGTCGTTATTTCTCCAGAGAGCACTGGGAACACAGTGTAACAGCCTGAGCATCCCCACACAGCCTCAGCAATCCTGATTTGAATGACTGCTTCAACTAAGAAAGCAGATGGTCAGTCTTTTCTCCATAGTCTATTCCCTGCTGGTGCTAGTGCTAAATGATGCAGATTTCTACTGCACTTCTGTGGCATGGAAATGCAAATACTGAACTTTATTGCCAAACACTTGTAAAAGTAACCCTGTTACTGAAAGGTAGTCACTTCTGTTGCTTAAAAAATGGTTATACTACTCTGGGCTTGTGAAGTAACTAAAGTAGGGGGGCTGTCTTCTAGTTTTTCTGAGGCTGTTCCAATATATTTCCAAGTATTTTAAATGATCACCACTGTAAAAAACTCCCAAAACCCAACATTTGACACTATCCTTTATCCTTTAAATGTGAAAAACAAAACAAAAAAGTATATGGAACAAATAGTAATGTGATAGTAACAATTTGTATCCCATTGACATAAAATGGGAGCTCCCAAGCAGAATTCTATGAAACACTAGTTGCCCACAGAGTACTTGCTGCTAATTCTTGGAAGGCTGGCTAGTCATACACTGTTGGCTTTTGTCCTTGTTTCCAGCTGTTACATCACATGAAAGAAAACTAAAAATACATTAAATACTTCTCCATACAAGCAAGTTAAAAACTGTTGCAATAATGTTAGGCACTGAAACTAGAAGCGTATGCAAAGTTATGAAGAGGAGCAAGGAAAAAAAACAAAACCATAAAATCTGCTAAAGTGTGGTCTGTGATGCGGCAAGAGAAAACCTTGAAAAGGTTCAATTTCAGTATTTCAGCATGTTTTGGATACTCAAAACAATCAGATGTTCAAGATCCCAGTCCAGTAACTCAAACACAGATCTAATGAGTACTTTCTGTTACAGTTTGGCCTACATTTATGCACCTTAATGAAATTAAAACCCATATGCCAAGAAATAATGTATTGACAACTGCATCAAGTGCTCAGAATGGAAGGTAGTAGATGCTTACTAGATAGTAAATGATCTGTGTGGAAATAGGCTAAACATGCTTTCTTATAAGGCTGAAGGGTGGAACTTACTGGAAACACGAATAAAATGTGCAAACACAAAGATATGTGCACATTGTGAGGTTGGAGTGTGCTGCAGTTTCTGGAGTTGTCTGCCTGCTTACTGAGAAAAAAAAAAACAACTTATACCAGATTTTATGATATTGAAAATTCATCTCAAGCTTTCTTCATATTTCTGAGTATTTACACTATGGTCTCAGTGTGAGTACATGCTTTGGGTTTTTTTTTTTTTTTTTCAGCCTTATTGTTCCCTCAGCTGAGAGACTCATACAATTCTGATAAAAGCAACTCTTACAAAGTATTTAGCTTGCAAAATGTATTATGCTCTGGGGCACTAGTATCAAGGATGCCTTACCTTAGACCAGTCTCCCATTCTCCAGATGTAGCATTTGGAATAGTCCTCACAGTCCTCTGCTTCTTTAGGTCTTGTGGACAAAACACATTTCTTGCGGGGATTGGTGCACCTCACAGTCCGATGCCGTACACCCTTACCACACTTTACAGAGCACTGTGGGGAAAAGATGTTTTTCAGGTTCCTACAAAAGCCATAGTTACCTCATTTTATCACCTTCTAATGACATCTGCCAGGCAGACATCAATATCTCAAGACGTCAGTGATTTCCTGGCTTCCAATCTTCAATTGCCTAGACACTGCATTTGTTAAAAACTAAAAAATGAACAAAAGTTCCTTAGGGGAAGAATAATAACTGCTGCATTTTCAGATAAAATATATATAATTAGATCAAAAAAACATTTGCTTAAGGCAAAACTAGGCTTTTGGAGAAGAAAAAGTCTTAAAACTTTTGATGAAGTGAATGCAAAATATTATAATGAAAATATAAGTTAATCTTTGTGCTATGAATGAAAATAAACATAATGAAAATCTGAATAATGTTCATAAGATACAAAACAACCTCAGAAAAGCTCTGCTAGTCTCTAATAGGACTTTTATGGGAGGGCAAAAAAACTTAAAATGGAAGAGTAAATATTTCAAAACTGCAAGAATCCAGAGTGAATTTGAAAATTCAAAGTCACTGCATATGTAGCATGTGAAAACTACCTTCAAGTTCCACAAAAGGTCTTAATCTAAAGGTTTTTTTCACCATTCCCACTTGCACTACCAAAAATTATGCCATTTCCTTCTTAAAACATTATCACTGCTTTTGATCATCCTACTGCTTGCAGATCAAAACTCTCCTTTGCCAAGCTGACTATAACTGCAGGAAGCAGTAATGGCTGGCTTCCCATTTAGTGGTGATAGTAGGAATGGCCATGGGAAAACACCTCGCTCTTCAAAACATATTTATTGCTTCCAACAAAAACATGCTTACTTATTTCTCATCTCAAGAGTAAAACAAACCAGCTAATCAACCTAGATTTCTTTCTCACAACTCTGTAAGTGAATACCATTCTTCTCTCAATCAGCCCTTGCATATATAAACCTCTGTGTACCAAACTAGTGCTATCTACTTCTTTTATCTCTATCTTAGCAACCACTTTTCATTTGTGAAAACATTCCCTGTGTCTTAGTTCTTTCTTGTTTTGGGGATGAAGGGGTTCTGCTGAGCAGAGGAACTCAAAGAAGGGGCTGCACTGACATTCAGAAGCTGCTATTTGTATTTTTAATCCAGAGGTACCCATAGCACTGCTTCTGGTATGTGAGGCAATCATAACTGCCTTTGCTCTTCCAGTGAAGGGAGAAGCTCCAAATAAACCCTTCAGCTTGCCCAGGTGGCAATGATAACAACACCCTTCTTTTCCCACAGTAAATACTTTTAGTAGAAGTATAGCTTTTTAGAAGAAAGTCAAATGGACATGGACATTAAAAGATCTTAAGTTAATAGAGCTTTTTGAATAATAATTACATGCTACAGCAATGCTTCAGGATGCACCGTATGTGAAATTAAAAGCCCTTCTGGCCTCTGCTTTTGCTGTTCTTGGAAGAAGAGACAAGACAAGAGAGGATGGGCAGGACCTGTCCTTTGCAAGCAGCTGTCTTCATAGTCTCTCTGAAGCAGAATGGCAGTAACCATCTGCTGATCAACATCCCTTGCTACAGAACTGTATCAGAGATTTTCCCACTCTCAACCCAAAGTCTGGTAGCTGAATGAGTGATAGCCTTAATTCTATTTACCTCTAGTTACCCACTGCTACAGCTAGGACATACTTGATTATATGTGCTTGAAAACTGGCCAAACAAAACTGTTCCAGGACATCAACTAGGTAAAATGTAGTAGTTCTCCATGGCTTGTTTTCCTAGTCCCTGATCTCTCTGCCAAATCATTGTATGAGGACCGTGAAAATCATCAGGCTGA